ACTGGAAAAGCGCAAGGAAAAAGTCACTGGAAAAGACGCGAGATCCCTCTATACAAACGAGTCCTTAGACTTCCAAGACCATTAAACAAATGGTCGACCTGGTTTTGACGGTTTTGTAGTGTAACAATGTGTAACATCCTTAGTTGGTTCAGGATTCAGCCTATTAGCTTAATGGTGGGCCAGGAAGTCTAGGGGTATAGTGGCTCAATCCGCTGCCCATGTTTGGAGGGACTGTAACAGCCTCATTCCTTTGGGCACCGCACCGTCCCACGGACCCCTGTGTGCAGGCCGCGCTGGCAATGTACGCGGCTCGACAAGGAATGGTCGTCCCGCGCGAAGAGAGATGAAGAGAGGAATGGGTTTTGCATTGAAACCACCCAAAACATCCTCCAAAATCATGGATTGACCATGTGCGTCACTGCGTGTCCATCGTTTGGTTTCAGTTTTTGTTTTTCTTTTTTCCGGGGTGGTGCAGGGGGGCATGCAAATCCTTTCCACGCTTCCAAGATGCCCATGATGGTGTAAGAGTGCCCATGATGGTGACCTCCCACATCACTGGATGTTCATCGAAGACACTGGACCGTGTAGGTTGATGGTTGTTTTGTCTTTATATGTTTGCAGGGCTTAAACTCACAATATTTGGCCAGAAAGAGCCTCAAACGCATCAGAAAGAGCCTGAATGTTGGTGGTTTTGAGGAGTTCAATCGGAGCAACCACTTATGGATTTGTATGGATGAATTGTTGCTATTTTACCCTATTACCCTAGAAGTCCAGTTGTCCAGTTCGACCAAGTTTGGCACCACCAAAGCAAGTTTATTTAAGGGGCTACCGCCCGCGGCCGCCGACCCCAGAGCGGCCGCGGGCGGAGGGAAGAGCGCGGAGGTTCGGCGACCGCGCCACACCTGCATCTTGCTTTACCTCAACTATTTCCAGGTTCTGGGTTTAGCAGGTACTACTTGGCGTTGTTCTGCCGTTCAACCTCAACCGTTTCTGAGAACTACCTTTTCTTTCCATCGAAGCATCAGAAACTAATACAACAACCCAATCGTACTAGAATATTTTAGCCGTTGGCAGGTCTAGGCTCCGCCGGGTCCCGCGCGCAGGAATTGGTCATAGTTTTGATTGTTTTGTGTCCGTAAATGTTTACATAATGTAGACTCTTGATCAATAATAGTGTCCCCATGTCTGGCGGTGTTTCGTTCATGCTTTGGTGGTATCTTGCTCATGTTGTCTTGCTCATGTTTCGTTGTGGTCTCGCTCATGTTTGGGTGGTGTCTCGCTCGTGTTTGGTGGTGTCTCGGTCGTGCTTTGGTGGTGTATCAGCTACATTTGGCAGGGGCTTTGGTCATGTTTTTGTGGTGCTTCTGTCATGTTAGGGTGGTGCGTTAGGTTTTCGTGTGGTGTTTTGGTCAGGTTTCGGTGTCTCGGCCATATTTTGGTGGGGTCTCGCTTGTGTTTGGGTGGTTTCTCCGTCATGTGCCCTGGTCATATTTGGGTGATGCTTCGGTCATGGCTTGCTGGTCTGTTGATTCCTTTTTGCCTGCTTTGGTGGTGTCTCGGCTGTGGTTGGCCAACCGGCACCGGCGCCCCAGGCATCCCCTCGCCCCCCCGTGTGGGGCCTTGAAGGCACTTGAAGCAGACCACTATCGGTCGTCAAATTTGAGCTGAAGTCCACACCAAATTCACCCCAGGTTGGGGGAAAACCAGTGAAGCAAGGAGGCTCTCAAGGTGGGAGGCCAAAAAAAGAGATTATTATATATTGATGCACAGAGTGATTCCATGGCGACGCATCGTATGCAGAGGTGTACAAGAGCATGCATCTCTTGGCAACTCCAATGGCAGCGGCAACATGGTGTGGTCAGCAACGAGAGACTGATGGATATGGGAAGTAGTTCCTCAACTGTCTGGATGAAGCTGCAGCCAGGAGGAGATAGAAGTGCAAGTGCTCCGAGGTGCGGGCGAAGAGTTGGAAGAGACGGCGCTGGATTCGTTGACCGCTGTGGTGTGGAAGAGCCCGAGCACCACGCACTCGCCCGCGGCACAAAGCGGGGGCTCCTGGCAGGCAGCGGAGTCTACAGCGGAAACTTGTCGCAGCAACGAGGCGGCCCTCACCTCCACCTATAGGGCCACAAGCTGGGCTTTAGCCCCATGCTCTGTGCATAAGAGTGGCTGACCATGGCTGACCTCATCACTTGCGGGAATTCCTTGCCTTCATCAAAGTCTGCCGGGCCATTGATTCGGGCCTCCCTCAATATGGTCACTCAGTTTGCCTCCGACGGCTTCCTCATCTCTGAGCACTTCGAGCAAGACGAAGCTTGCTACGCGGTTTGCTTCCTCCAGCGTGGCTCGGCCACCTTGCCCAGCATTTCGGAAATATCCAAATCTGACTCCTCACAGCCTGGAGAATTTGGTGTCTTGCTTGCCTTGGCCGCATCACATCGGGCACCCCTGCACTCACCACGAACGCAACCCCCAGCAAAGGGTCAACCTTTGCGACAAAACGTTGCGCACATGTCTTTCAATGGCAACCTCCACAGATTGACCGGAAGGGCGAAGCTTCAGAAGCTGCATTGTTGTCGTGGAGGTCGCAGGAAGGGCCCCGCCTGGGTGAACAAAACCCCGCGACCGAGGAAGCGACAGCGATGCCCAGGCCAAGACTTTGCTATTGAGGTTGTCAGCTAGGTTTTTAATCCAATCAGATTGGTTATTGATCCAGGAGTCTACATTGGGGCTTTCCCTTTTTGAGACAACTGAGACAACTCCACCCGCCACCCTACTTTGAAGGACCTCCCGAAGTCTGCTCCAGACAGTTTCCTCTCTGAGGCGTCGTATTTCCTCCTTTTTGCACACTTCTTTGCCGAACGTGACTGGGACAGCAGCGGGTGTGTTTTTTGTTTTCCTTTTGGCGCAGGGCCCCCCCCCACATCCCCCCATGAATACTAGCTGGACCTCAAGCTGGACCCAGCAAGATCCGCAGGTGTTAGTGTTTTGAGTGGCCACTCCAAAGGTGGGGGCCAGAAGGATGCACCTGTGGCCACGAGGCTTTGCAACAGGGAGCCCCCAGCCAGGTTGGGGATTTACATTCCAACGCCCCCGGGCACTCCACCCATCCACACATCCAAGGGTTGCGTTTGACATTCTTCTTCAACATTCCTGATTTGAGACACGATTCACCAAGCCAAGGCTACATCTACCCGCCCAGTCCAAAGAAGAAGACTGCCTGAGCCGTTGCCATTGCCGTTTCGACAGCCGTTTTCCCAGCGCCACAGCCGGAGTAGTCTGCGAAACGAGGATCGGAGCGGGGAACTTGTCGTTTCACGCCCGCTGCCCATGACGCCTATTGAATCCAAACTGCACAGAAGAAAAGGCTGACTCAAACGTGTTGACGAGACGTTGCTGTGTGGACGAGATTCAGACTTAGGGTGTGTAGACCAGTTTTAGCCGTCGGTAGAACATCATCACGTTTTTGTGTTTCGATTTTTGACTGAAAGATGTTGAAGCATGTCAGTCCTGCGTCTGGCCAGTTGTGTCGTCATGGAACAGTCCTGCTTTCAGGGTTGTTTATGAACTTGTCAATTCAACATGAACCCCGTGTGGACAAAAATTAACGCCTGAAATTTTGTTCTTGTCTCACCCTGAACCTGACTCATAGAAAGGGGAACGGGTGGCGAAGTCGGTGCTCCTTCCTACCCCAAAGTGTACCAGCGGGAGGTCGACCAGGGGCAGCGCGAGGTTGACCAGGGTCATCTTCCAAGTTGGACCTGCCCCCTTCCTGTTCTAAATGTTGCACCACGAAACGTATGCTTCAAGTTGCCATGGCTCCTTTCTGCTCGAATTCTTTCACAACCGGGTGGACCGCAAAAGGGGTGCTCCAAGCTGGAGTTGCGAAATTATACCCTTGGGTGGACCACAAAACCAATGCTTCCAGTTGGAATGCCTGGCTGCCTCCTTTTTGCTATAATTCTTTTCCCTTGGATGGCCCACAAAGGTGTGCTCCAAGTTGAACTCGTTCCTGCGTTAAGTGTTGCCCTCCTGAGAATGACAAAGGATATGCACAAAAAAATTGAATTCCTTGGAGTTGCTCCTGCTTGCTCTAAAACTTTGCCCTAGACCAAGGGACCTGCTGTGACCAGCCAGAGGATGAAGGGATGAAAGGGATGAAAGGGATGAAAGGGATGAAAGGGACAAAGGGAACCCACAAACCAACGAACCAACGAACCAAAAGACCAAAGCAGGCGAGGACCTGGGGACCAAGGGAACCAAAGAACCAGGCGACGGACCTGCGAACCAAGGACCAGCAGACCAAAGGACCAAGGAAACATAAAGAAACCATAGGAAACCCATGTTAATGTTGATACGAACCTATTTTTTTGTTAGGATTTTTGATCGGTTTTTGATAGGTTTTTTTCTTTTGATACGAATCAATTTGTTGATTGATACGCCGTCTCCCATCCTTGGACCCTTTCAGTTCGGAGTCTCGCAGCGACCCCGAGCCCCTCTGACCGTTTGTCCTGTTCGAGGACGAAGGCATTTCATCTCGTGGTGAGTTGCTGAGTCCTGAAGCAATGGACAACTACCAAGGTTGGACACCCAACCTACACCCGTAGGATTCCTGGCCCAGGATTCCTGGCCCACTGTTGATTTCATGGGTCGACATCCCGAACAACCCTGGTTTTCCCACACACATCGACTGCACGACGAGGAACAGCCAAACGCTTTTTGAATGGTCGAACATGTCGAACGGTGCACGTTTCCACGAGCTTGGGCAGTGTGCGGGTGCACCCGCAGTAACCATTGGATCAAGTAGGAGTTAAGTAGGTAGACGGTAGAATCATGGCGAGCAGTGGAATCCGAACGGATCTATGATCGATAGGGCGCAGCGATCTTCTTGGAGCCGAAGACTTTGATTGATACATCACATGGTTGACCATAGGAAATCGGACATCAGCAGGTTGTGAAGCAGAGGACATCACCTTCAGAGGTCCAACATGTACAGAACAGGGACAGTTGTAGACATCTTAGAACTTTTGTTGTTTTTCTCCATTGTCACCAGGCCGGTTCCCGCGTGCGTAGGCCGCCGCGTGCGTGTTCCCACGCGAACGCGCAGGCGTTGGGCTGAAGGGGGCTAGATGTTCGTCATGATGTGGTTGCCTACTGTTGCCTCGCTAGAGTCTCTTACCAGCAGAGGTCGAAAAAAGAAAAAAAACACAGTTCGACTATCCCAGTTCGGTACCCCAGTATGGTTTACGGTCACTTAATGTAACTTAGCCTCTCTTGGTCAGATCACCATAGGTCCCAGGCCTAGGTCTTCACATGGCTTCACCACCCTTCAAATGGAACTGACATGGGTGTTTTCCCCCACCCGTCCGGCGCGCGAAAAAGGCGCGTGCGTCCGCACGCGCCCGGCCCCCCCCCACCACTCCGCCCCGGCACGCTGCGCAGCACGGGGCGCAGGCCATGTCGCAGTGGGAGGCGGGGAGAGTTCGTCACCGAGCTTCCGCGTTACTTCCACGCCCGGGTGAGAGGGTCCTCGGAATCGGACGGCCACGGTGAGAGAGTCCGGCACCTTCTAGAGTGAATCGAGACCTTCCCAAGAGAGGTAAGTGACCGTACATAGGAGCCGGAAAACCTGGGGTACCTATGGGATACACTCTGACTCACTAACATGGAAGTGGAAAATTGCCCCTTGGAAGACTACTTTCCTCTACAAACGGTGGGTTTTCCACTTCCATGTTAGTGAGTCGGAGTGTAGTCTATAGGGTTCTTCAACCTCTGTTGGTCTGAGATCTGAGTGAAGTGAACGCGCACTTCGCGGAGATTGCAGCGGAACAGGTATCAATACCTTTTTAGTGGGGATGTACTTTTTCGATTTACTTGGGGGTCTAGTCTAGATAGTTAAAATTATCTTTAACAAGGAGGAAGAGAGGCTGAACTTCCCGATATTTTCGACTGATCAAGGTGACCTGGGTCGAATTGACCCGCAGCAATATGGGGATCAATGCCAATCAGACAGTTGTTTCCTTTTGCTGCCATCCTCCATTCTTAGTATATTATCAATGATGTTTACTCTGCAGACTCTGCAGACTCTCAAATGAATTGACCACCAGAGTCTTCCTCCCATTGGTCTTCTTGATGTTCCGCGCGGTGTCCAGGTGGTCGGTGGTTCGGACAAGGGCGGCATCCTTGTGCGCAAGGGGCAGGCGGCCTGGTCTTCTTCTTCGGGATGGGCGGGACGGACGTGGGCCGAGGACGTGGGTTGGACACGAAGAGGACGTGGGCGGCTTGTGATGCAGAACCCGCAACAAGGTGGGTCCATGAGCCTGGAGAGAGGTGTGGAGGACAGGGTGACCTTTGAGGTATGACCTTTCGGAAGCCCAGGATGACCCCACAAGGACCCTTCTCTTCCCCAGGGCATGGCAACAAAAGGCTCGGTGGGACCCTTCAATGGCAGGGGGGCACCGGTGGCACCTCCTCACCAGGGCGGAGCGCCCAGCTCGGCGGCTTTCAGGACCTGAAGTCGGAGCAGTGCACGGATCGCGCCTGGGCGGGAGAAGAGCCAAAAATGGGTGGCGGATGGGTGGACCTTCGGTGGATGCAGAAGGCCAACGTGGGAGGTTGGAGAATCTTCCAAAACACGTGGCGGATGGCCGTCTTTACTGCCATCGGTTGTGTTGGAAGAAGGGTAATAAGGATTGTCCATGATTGGATGGGAACCCTCATTTGAGGATTAAGACCTAATTGTAACACTTTTGATTAATAACCCCCCAACATTATTAGGAAGCGGTTTTTCAATTCAAATGGGGGAGGTTATTGATCAAGAGTCTACATTGGGGGCTGGGCGGTTTTGACTGGATGGTTCCACCTTTTTTCTTCTTAGGACGAAGCCCCAGCAGGCAGGTCGCCGGCACCGGGAGCTCTGGCCACGGCCCGTTGCCAGCAGGAGAGCCTTTCCCCACCCTTCCGCAACCCGGAAGTTGCACTGATCGGCAGGTGAACCTCAGGAACCGAGAGTGGACGACAGTGACGACTGGCTCAAGGCATCCATGAAGGTTCTTGGACTTCTTTTTTGGCACAGCGCGAGGTTCTTGGACCCTCTCCCAAAATTGGTTTAAGGGCAGTAAATTTTCACCACCAAAAACTATGGGTGTCCTGTAGATTTACCCGCCAAACAAATCTGGGACAATCCCACGTTGGGTTCTCGGGAACGTGCAAACACATCACTTGCTGTATCTTGCACACTAGATTACACTATTGCAGCGTCCCTATCTGTTTATCCTACCCTCAATCTCTAGAAGCGAAGACGTTGCACAGATGGATGACGTGGCGGGGCCAATTTCTCATTGAGAGGGGCCAAGCAGGTGGTATCCTCCACGTGCTGGCAGTTGTACCCTGAAGTGACGACGAAACGCCTGCAGTTGTGGCACCCTAGCAACTCACCCAGATGGACGTGGAAAATCAGCGACCCTCTGACGAACACATCGGAAGTAAAGAAATGACCCCTTGGAAGACTACTTTCCTTTTCGAACAGCTGGGAGGTTCTCCAGTTCCACGTGATGTGTTCGTCCGGGGTGTGCTTGAACAGGAACCTGGTCATCCAGGGCGCCCATGTTCCGCCGCCATGTTAGTCAGGGTGTAGTTGAGCAATGACCTGCTCTCGGAGCTTTTTCATGATGCTGAGTCGGCGGGTGTTCTCATTTTTTCCACGTTACACACCACTCAACATGTTCTTCCAATTTGGCGTGTCCGAAATAGCTTGACCAATTGTTCCGGATGAATCTGAATTATGGATGAATATGATGGATGAACAGTGAAAGACAAACCCTCAACCTTACTTTCGAATGTCCACCCGTAGATGTGGCACCCTCGACCTCGCTCTCTCCCTCCTCTCCGCTCTCTCGTCATCCCCTCCGTGTGGGCCGACGAAGTCTCGTCCCCAGGGCTCTCGACCGGTGCTTTGGTGGCGCGCGACATGTGTTGGCTCGGACGGCGCCGTGGCACCGTCGTGATGGAGGGTGGGGCCGTGGCGGTGAACGTAGGGGTGGGGCGAGGGGTGGCTGGTCCAAGGTGGCTCCTGTCCCATGTCAACCAGTAAGTGGCAGCAAGTGCTTTGAAGCGGTCGTTGGCCTGGGGATTGTCCCCTATGCACTTGCTTGGGTCAAAATTAATACATGCAGCATGGACGCATGGGGTTCCTTTGTGATTCGGAGAACTTGGAGAAAGCACAACTTTTACCGGGGTCTTAATCAATGGCAACCTGCGCAGGCCCAGTTCTGAGGAAGACCCACAAAGTTTTTTTTTCCTGGTCATTCTGGTCATCCTCCAGTAGACCTACGATAGATGTCAAAAACATCAAAAGTGCACCATCGCCAACATGAATGGTTTGGATGAAGTGAGTCCTGGCAATGTGTGTTTGACTGCTTCATTGACATCGCCTGTGGCGATGTGGCGATGTGGCGGTACCACTCTTTGTGATTCTTTTTGGATGCCCCCTTCGTGAGACCGGGGATGGGTCCCGTCCACCATGTAGCGAGCGAGTGAGAAAAAGACCAGTCCACCAGGTGATGGTCACCGGGTCGGGCCCGTTCCCCAAATCCTTTGATCACCTACAGAGGTTAAGTGACCTGAACTAGGACCCTACAGGAGTACCTATAGGATAGTCTATAGAGTTCTTCAACCTCTGCTGGTTTGCAAAGTGCACTTTCTTTCACTTTCACTTGCGCACTTTCGTGCAACGAAGCACAGCGCCGGATTCCAGCGCCCAGGCTGGAATTCTCTAATTATGTAGATGCATCGGGGGCGTAGTCTGGTCCATACAACAGAAGGCTGTTCGCTTCGGTCACATCCATCACAGCAAAACATCAATGGTCAACTTTAATCCTTTGGTAGGTCATCCAATTTGATCATCTCTGGTCTCGCTCTTCTCATCCTCGGCGGAACCCACGACGCCGGCTCTCAGCTGCGTTCAGGGCCGCGCTTTCCGGGCCCCGGCCACGACAGTCCGATATTTTTTGGGCCGAGGTGAGAGCATAGTAAGGTCCCTAGGCTTCCAAGACTTCACACCAACATGAACCTGGGTTTTGCCGCGTAACATCCGTAGTAAAACAGCTCGGCGGTGGATTCAGCCTAATGATTCCATGAAAGCAGACCTGAAAAAAGGATTTCGTTGCGCCAAGCAGACTTTGCAGGTCATTGAAAGCAATACCACCCAGATCTGTGCGCAGAGTGCCAAGTGGCATGACAATGCATGACTAACTGGCAGGTACTACCGTTGAGAAGGAGCAGACGCTTCAATTCTTCAAATGGGGCCCGCACCCCAATGCTTCCAAGCCCACGAACACCCAGTTCCAAGGTGTTTGTTCTGCTTGTTGTCACCTGCCCCAGAGTGGAACTCAGTCTATCCTTCAGTCTCTTTGCCGTCAACCTCCAAAGCCCACTGAACCTCAAAAGCACGAATGACCCCATCGCACATCGCACCGTGACCGACCTCGGCCATCTCTTCATGGCTGCGCGGACCGACGTCTAGGCCCCAGGCCGGCCGGAGCGGAGGTTTTTGGAGTCGACTTGAGGTTTGTTGGTCCAAGGAATCCGCGCCGGGGGTGGGAGGTCCAAAGGAGCTGGTGGATGTGATGAAGAAATGAGGTCTCACCCCACTTGGCTGCCCAATCCATATTCTTCAAGATATTTTTCTCTTCAAAGGAGAAAGAGGTCAGGGAGACCTCAATCATGATATTAGTTCTTCTCGCCACGGCAACGGGTCTCCCTGATCTGTCAACCGATGAGAGTCGTCGCTTGAGACAACGACTGGCCCCCGTCGGTTTGGAGCTCTTCTGGGTGAACATCTGTGAACTGAAACAAGACCCAAGACTGCCAACCAATAGTGCCAAGCCAGTGAAAGCAGCTCAACCCAAAGAAGAAGCACTGTCCCATGGAGGATCCTCCCGTGTTCATCCCGTGTTCACGTGTTGGCACCATCCGGGCTCACCCGGGTCGCCGGGAAACGGCTCTGTGTGTTTCAGCATGGGAGGCATCGAATCCGGGGAAGAACATCGCCGACTCGAAGCCGATGAACCCGATAGCTAACACGGATGACCATTGAGTGCCTTTTGATCCCTTCTTGGAAGATCCAGGTGCATATCACCTGCGGAAATGACCGCAGGGACTTGCCCAGTGCATTCTCTCCTAGCAAGATTAGCCAAGGGTATACCCGGTGTGTCTCCGGAATGTGTATCTTGGCGTGGCGACACCAGGCGACATGAAGAAGCTTGGAACGCCCAAGGCGGTCCGGAACTTCTTCGCCCGGCAGCCCAAGTCGGTGAGTCGCGAGGGAGATGGCATTCGGCAGTTGGAGAGGCCAAGAGGATGAAGAGACCGGTTGGCTCTGGAGGTCAATCTGTATAGTACACTTGGAGAAACGTGTGCAATAATCAAGAGACCAAAACAAATACAAAACAGTACCAGGACCTCCTGTACTAAGGGGTGTCCACGAAACTTCCCTTAAGCTCGCCTAGACTGGGGTGCTCCATTCACCACTCCTATACTGCCCGAGTCCAAGAGGTCCGTTCGTCACAGGGTCTTTACTACAAGTGATCTCTTGGGACTCGTTACCTGGGGGCCTGCAGACTCGGAGAGGTCCTATACCAGGGCCTCCTAAGGAGTGGATGTTCAGCGCATGCGCTGAAATCACCTCAATTAGTTCCTCCCCAGCTCCCCCGCTGCGCTCTCCCCTCGCTCTCTCGGCGCAAAACCCGCCAAAACCACCTTAACGGTCCCGCCAAAACCTTGCACGAGCGCGGACACACGAGGAAGCAACACCAAGAGAGGTTCAAGTAAGTGATCCCATGTGGACCCGTCACCTGGGGCACCCGACCTGGGGATAGTCCTAGATCGTTCTTCAACCTGGAAAGGATGGCGGCAACCGCCGCGGGGAGATCGGAGAGTTCAAGGAGGTGCCAGCGAGATGTTTAGAGAGCTCCGGGGAATGGGAGGCGGCGGGTCATGGCCTAGGCTCGCGCGGGGCTTACAAACCGGCTGCGACAAGACAGAACAGACGGCTGCCGAAGAATGCACGATATCGAAGGTGTTGTTTTGTTTTTTTCCGCGGTAAAAGCATTTTTGCATCATGTCAGCTTCCAAGGGGGCATCCGTTTGAGCCCTGGTTCACCATGTAGCTGGACCTTCCCGGTCCCTTCACCAACTTGGACAAGGGCGAGCAACGTGCAACAATTTGGATACTGTAACGTTGTGGAGACCGTGAGGAAACGCGATGCAGCGATGGGGGTTGATGAACATACCTGATTCGAAGACCTGTGAGGGAGGGAGCATGAGGTTTTGGATGGTTTTTGGTTTCTTTTCCTTTCACATGAGGGGGTCTGGCTGGGCATGTCTCCCGGTCTCCCTACTCAGCCCTACACTCACTCACCTTTCAGAGGTGCTGTCTTTACACCTGAGAAACCACCTGAGAAACCCACCTGAGCGCTGCTGTTTGCGGTGTAGGAGCTGAATAACAACAGCAAGGACCGGAAGAAGGAGGCGCTGAAGAAGGCCGGGG